TATATATATATATATATATATATATATATATATTGGTATTTACGGTTGATCTGCATTTCAATACATAATAGACTTGTAAAAGCTACCAACTTTATAACGCTTTATTATTTATCAAGAATTCCAAGATAGAACTAATTCTAAATAAATAAATCAATGAGACAATACTTTTTTGTTTGGAAGACGAGTAATCCAAGCCAGTGATGAATTAGAAATGTCTGTTCCTGGGACATCCGCTGGTGTATACACAAACGAATTTAATTCACCCATTTTATCGATGAAGTGGTTAGCAGTAACTACGCTTTGAAATATTCTAGTTACTGAAAAGATGATTGTTAACAATCGAATTCCACTGCAGCGTTTTTCACATAAATTATTCTGTGCATTGTCGCGGAAAATTTTAGGTAAACATATGAGTGAGAAACACTACTTCGCCATGGTAGAAAGTTAGAATTTATCCAGAATTAAGATTGCATCAAAACCAATGTTCGTTTTCCAAGAAATATCAAAAAGTTTTCAGTGGTTGAAAGTTGAAAGTGGCAACTTTTGAAATCGCAATTATTTTTAATACTACAAACAGTAGCAATGAAAATAATTAGAATAACCTTCTATAATCCATAAACTAGAATATTACAAAAACCTGTAAAAAACAAAGCAATCTGTAAAAAGCATATGTACAATTAGTCATTTGGTACTACCCTTGAGAGACTGAAAATTATGAGACATGCAAAAAAGACAACGATTCTGCGAGACAATTAGAGATTGCAGAGAAGTAAACCAGCGAATAGAGAGAAATAAATGCACGAAAAGAAACGATTAGGAAAAGTAATGTTAGAAGTTCCACTTATACAAAAAATAACACGCTAGGAGGTAAAAGCTACAGACTAAAGACAAGATATACTATTACTTCCTGACAAGTAACAACTAATAAGCTAGATACAGATGGTGTTAAAAAAATTTGTATGGAAATTTCCCGCATTGTTTGTTGGTTCATATTGCGACAGGCTTCATTTTGTATTGCGATTGTGATAGCAGAATTTAGCTTACTAACTCGATGAATTTGCTTCAATTTCAAGGTCATAGTATTGAGGAACGTTGGCTGGGAAGTTCGTCCTAATGTGCTTAGTGGAGTATTTGAGACAATTAGTCAAGTACTATTTTTTAATATTCGCATGTAAACATCAAGTATTTGTACTTTTGACCTTTTAAATAGTTCATTTTGTAGGTAGTGTGTTGTGTTTCAAATTTTGATTCCTTTAGATCGTTCCGTCTCTGTTTTGCTTGAATTTCTGAAAACAATTCTCTTATGTGTGTTGTTTTATTCACTGCGTTTTTATATATTAGTTCCAATTACATGAAAATAATAATGCACAGAATAAGCTGTGCCACATAAAACTCAAGAATTTTACGCTGTTATATCTTCTCTTCAGTTGTAACTTAAGTCATTTTTTGAAAATTGCACAAAAAATTGTAATTTTCTAAATTCTTCACTTCAAATTGTATTCTGTCCAATTTTGTCCGTTCATAAATGTTGCTATGTTGTAAAGAATAAATTAGTTTCAGATGTGTAGGGAATGTCAGTTAGTGTTGTTGGAGTTTATGATCACCAGCAAATACCTCAAAATAGGTACATGGTAGTTGGCAAGTCGAATGTGATTAGCAATCAAGAAATTAGCGCGAATGGCATAACAAATGATGTTACTTATGAAGCCGGAGAAGGTTGTCGTCGCATTGCGGTATCGTTCATATATCTTTATAAGTAGTGGACTTAGATATGGTCTTTTTAAACCTTTTCAGTAGCTGCTGTTGATATTTAATTATATGGCAGTGCAACGAGTGGGTAAAGTAGAGCATCAAAGCTTTTATTTCAGGAAGCTAGTAATGACAGTGATACATCCGATACAACAAATGTATTAGAAATTGGTAAACGTCGATCAGTATATTTAGCTAGTGCTCCGACGGAACAATATGGTCAGGAAGAGGGGTGCAGTGTCCCAAAGATTGCCAGAAATGATAAATGCATGGAAAATACAGAACATTTGATGTCTCAGAGGAATAATGTATATCGTGGCAGTGGTATGCTTTGAGTTCATGTAAAGAAATATATTATCTGAAAATTTGTGATTTATAATTTTCATTATTGTTTTTGGTGATTATTACAGTTATTTCTACCATGTATTGTTGCAGTGCAATTACTGAATACTTAGAGATATAACTTATTGTTGTTTATTTACTACAGGTGCGGAGTTAGTTACTGCTGACGATGATGGCGAGCATCAAACTTTGCATGATATTTCACGGTGCGCACCGCGAGAAATCACTTATGAGCCACAGGAGTGCAACCTACAGCATTGCAATATGCAGCAACAACACTGCAGTGTGCATGCTCAACATTGCGATGTTCAAGAACTGCCTCTTTCTAACCAGCGCGTCAGTTTTTATATTAATGGCTAAGAGTTGATTTTGCTTGTCACTCTTTAATGATTTGATTGTTTTTCAATATATGTTCAACATGAATGGAAAAAACTGGAATAAATTTCATGCAAATTCAGTATAATTTAACATTTATTACCTGAAGCATACAATATTTGAATTATGGCATCGTCTTTAGGTTGATCGTGAAGTGCACTCTACTGAAAAAAATAGTGTGAAAAATGAAATAGATTCTGATGAGACTGCATCGCACTTACTCATCAGTTTAAGCAATGCGTTAACTCCTAGTGATGCTGAATTTATCGATCGTTACCGTCCAAAAGGGCGTCCAAGAGGCAAGTATTGAAAAATGCAAATAATCCTAATTATTTTTTGATGATACTGTTATGTTAATACTTTTTTTCGTAATTAAACTTTAGTCTCGAAAGTTTAGATTTTTGGAAGCTATTTTATTTTGCTTTTTTTTGTTATCTTTGAAAAAATTGCTCACACTTGAAGTGTTTTTTACTTTTCTTAATTAGCAGTTATAATTGAGAATCTAAATTTTGTCGCATTGGAGATTACCACTTTCAACAAGTTGCACCATATTATAATCCAGATTGTCACAAAAAAAATGTAGTTTTTTTTTTTAGGTCCTAAGCATCCAGTTTGGAATTTTTTCAAGTTTTATAAATCCGGTGGACTTACTTTGGGTTATATGTGTCTGTTATGCGGAAATGGATTTACGGGCCCTCCAAACACTACAAATGCTACGAAGCATCTTCGTTGCAAGCATAAGCATGAATATTTGCTGTATTTCGATTTGTTAGAAGGTTCAAAACAAGGAACATTTTTTGGAGATGTGCATCAGTCTATCCGAGAGGTTTTTTCATGTTTTATCTGAAAACTTTGGTCAGTATTCGACGAAAGTGAAGCAAATAAAAAAATATAGAAATTTGATTTGCTATCATTGTAATAAATAAGCGTTACTTTTGTTTTACTCTGCAGTGCCTTTTTAGATATTGTTAATTTATTTCATGTTCTTCTGAGTAATTGTCGAGTAGATTTTAAAGTGGTTTTTCGCTCGGTAGACTAAAAATTTCATTTTCAGTAATTTTGGAGTTTGATATAAAAACTTATATTATTAAACTTCAGAATCTGTACTCGTTAGTTTATAATAGAATTATATCCGTTTTCAGCTCGTCTCCAGGAGGGGTGTTAAGACAGAGGCACCTGTTTTGCAAGGTAATAATACTGGTGAAAATTCCCGTTTAAGCTGTGAAGTCATAGCTGAAGGTTGAACTTTTATAAGCAATATCGTTCCATTAGGTCCTATGATAAGATGACTAAAGTTTTTTAATGAACGAAATAGATCTTACTTGTCTTTTTTAAAACCGATAATAAATGAAAAGTGGCATCATATTGTTTGAAGTTGCTATTATTGCGTTTGTAATATTGAATCTAAAAAGGTTTGAAAAATGTGACTGAATGTGGATGATATTTTTTTCAATTGTATTACACATAAATCTATCTTATTGCTAGGTACGCACCGAAACCATGGTTGGACAGAGGAAACTGCTGGTAGTTCTCAAGATGCTGATCTTCATTCTTTTCTTTGTTCTGCTCTGGTTTCGAATACAGTGAGTCATTACCACAGAGAATTACTAATGAGTTTGAAGCAGTCTTTTAATGCTGAAAAAAAAAGATTATAAATCAATGATATGAGCGATTCATTGTCTGTTCAGAGCAGAGTGTTGAATTAATAAAAATTATGTGGGAATTGTTTCTTTTGTTTCTTTCCATTCTAGAAAAACATACTATCTATCCTGAAAAATGAGATGATCAATTTCGAAAGCTTCATATTGGCTTTTGATTTGGTTTAAAGTTTCAGTCCAAAAATTCGCTTGTTCGATATGATGTAAGTAACACTGGTGACAATTCTGAAGTTTCATCTTCCGGAGAAGTTGTGTTTGCTGGTTCATCCACTGGGTAGGTAACTGCATTGGCCTCTCATTTGAAATTAATATCATTTTGTAGAAATTTTTTTAATGGTTCTGGAGTAAAATTGTAGCTTTCATTCTTGTCAAGAAACAAGATTATATTTATCATCTTCAAACCTGCTTTGTTTTTTTATCTAAGAATGAGAACTTTATATGGAAATACCTTTTATAGAGATGTAGAATCAGCTACATCAGTTGTCAACAGTGATGCTACAGGACAGTTTGCTGGGCAAGTTGAGTCTTTTCTTAAAGATTATCGTCGCTTAGAAGTCGAGGTGTGTTTTTTATTATATAATATAATATAGATAATTTTTAGCTTTTTTTTTGATTGTTTTTAATGTTT